GTGAGAAGGCTATGAAGGCTGGTCTGAGGTAATTTGGATGATGTTTACGCATCTCGCGCTCCGGTATCAATCCGATACGGTGATCTGGTGCGTAGATATGCCACCGCCAATAAACTTTTATACATCGACACCCATGAGCCAAGCTTTCTATACAGTTTGTGTGGCAGCGGCCCGACCAAACCTTAGGTATTTTTTACACCTTCAAATTTGGTAAAAGAGCGAGAGGAGCTTTGAACGGTGATCGTATAAAAGGCGTGCCTAAAAAGCGGAGGAAAAGGTTGTTTTCAAAAATTTCGCGCGCCTTCGGCGCAGCATTTCAAGAACACTTGACCTTTTGTGACCTGGAGTATAAAGAATACACACGATGCAAAATCAATGCAGCACGACCTATACGAGGTTACGCAAAAAAAAAACTGGTGGCATGGTAAAAAACGCCTCCCAACCCCCCCCCCCCCCCACCCCGCTGAGCGATTTTTTATCTCGCGACCGTATGGCGCCCTCCTTGGGTGAGGTGGCGCCCTCCAAACCCTTGGCCCCCCCCCTTCGCGATTTTCTAAATACGCCGCTGTCCTAACTCCTAACATCACTTTGATTCTCCTCAGCCAATTATACATCAAGAGGGAGACCACACTGACAGGGGTCCAAGATCCAACCCAGGCCCTTTGTAAGTGTGGATGTCCTGACCTGTAGCCAGAAGCACTGCCACTGGAGCACAGCAGCTAATTCCCTATCTTCCTTCCAGTGTAGCCCCTGCGCGTTTACTTCCGCCGGTCACCGCTAGATGCTGTGAACCGCTAGTTACAGTTTTGTTAATAGGTGTCGCTTTTACCAGTCTCTAAATTGCTAAAGCCTTCGATTAAGTTGTGCGCCCCCCTTTTAACGTTCCGTTCGCTTAAACTGCTGTATTGTTTGGACAATTGTATTGGCTATGTGTATATTAAAAACCATATGTATTCGTTTATTACATTCGATGTTCTCGCCAACATGTGTGCAATACTAGATAACTAAGTTCGTATGTAAAACTATATATGTCTCGATTTTGTGGCGAAATACAAGAGATATCTGTATGTTACAGTGTTTCTACTGGCTACACCAGCCAGATTGGTGACCCCGCGTTCTGCGCACTAAGGGATCGCTATCCCCTCGTGTTCCCTGGCACACCGACACTGGCCTGCACCCTGAGCTATCTCCTCCAGCTCTCTTTGTGTAGGAAGGAAGTGGCGGATGGTGTGTCTTCACGAGGATCCTTCTTTTGTGCTGAGTGTAACTGGATAACGCCGACTACTACTGCTGCACTACGATCCAGATACTTCATCGGCTCACCTTACCGTCCGGCTACCTCTGCAGCTGCACCGCAGCACCTGCCGATCGCCGTGTCGCCGTCGCCGCCACCGATCTTCCCGACCATTGCTCTCGGCAGCCATGGACCAGAAGACCCAGCCTGCCGGCGCCGGTGCAGCCGCCGGCACCGGTGCAGCCGCCGGCGCCGGTGCAGCCGCCGCCGCCGCCTCGCATGCCGCTGCTGCTGCTGCTGCTGCCGCTGCCGCCCAACCGGACTACCTCCGCGTGGCGACCGCGCCACGCAGCCACGTCGCGCCGCCGCGCTTCTTCGAGGAGGACCCCGTGATCTGGCTCGTCCAGCTCGACCTCTTCTTCTCTCAGGCAGCTGTGGACGATGAGTTCAGCCGCTTCCGGATCGCCGCTACTCTTCTTCCTGGCCACCTCCTGCGCGACTTCACCGACATCCTCCGCAACCCTCCTCTGGACCGACCTTACACCATCCTTTCCGACGCCATCCGTCAGCGGTTCGGCAAATCAGTCGAACAGCGTCTTCGCTGCCTGCTCTCTGGCCAACAACTCGGCGACAGGCGTCCTTCCCAATTCCTTCGGCATCTCCTGGACCTTGCTGAAGCTGAAGGCTCACAAGATTCCCCGCTCATCCGCCAGATCTTCCTCAATGCTCTTCCGCCTCAGACTCAGCCCTTCCTCCAGTGCCTGCCGCCTGGGACGGACCTTGCGACCATCGCTAGCACTGCCGACCGACTCCTGGAGCTTCCGCAGCAGTCGGACGTCGCTGCACCTACCTCAGGCCTTCTCGCCGCGGTATCGACTTCTGCGCCTGCTGCAGCCTCACCTGCTGCTCCTGCAGGACCCTACCACCTCCAAGACCTGATGAGCCAGCTGCTGACTGGTGTCACGGCCCTCACAACATCAGTCGCCACACTGATGGACGAGACGCGCCGCCGAGAGAGGTCTGCATCCCGTGCCCCCGGCCGCGCTCGCCACCGTCCACCACGCGACCTGTCTGCTGCTGCCCGGTCACCCAGCCCTCCAACCAGCACATCTACCGGCGCTGGTGCTTCCTACTGCTGGTACCACCACAAGTTCGGTACCAACGCGCGCTCATGTCAGTCACCGTGCTCGTGGTCTGCAACCGCAACTCAGGCCTCGGGAAACCAGCAGTAGGACAGGTGACACAGACGTCTGCACCTGCCCTGCTCAACCCTGACGTCCCTCCAACCAGCGGCCTTCTGAGACTCAAGGACAACAACACTGGCATCACCTTCCTCATCGACACTGGAGCTGAGTACAGTGTTCTTCCAGCGACACCCACCGATCGTGCTCGCGGAACCAACGGACTGGATCTGCAAGCAGCCAACAACAGCAGCATCCAGACCTATGGTCAGCGCATGCTCACGCTTTCTCTCGGCCTCAGAAGAGATTTCAACTGGATCTTCATCATCGCGGACGTCTCCCATCCTCTCCTAGGAGCCGACTTCCTCTCCTCGTATGATCTCCTCGTCGACACCAAGAGAGGCCGTCTCATCGACCACCTAACTGAGTTGTCCTCACCTGCTTCCCACTCTTCAGTGCCGTCCACCGGACTGACAGCCGTCGTCGGAACCGACAACCCAGCATTCCTTAACCTCCTTCGAGAATTCCCCAGCCTCACCCAGCCGTCACATCATCCGGAGCCACAGCACTCAGTCCGACATCACATCGAGACTACCGGCCCTCCGGTCTTCTGCCGCCCACGCCGTCTGGATCCAGCTCGACTCGCTACTGCCAAGGCAGAGTTCCAGCGCCTCCTCAGTCTCGGAGTCATCCGACCCAGCAGCAGTCGGTATGCATCACCGCTGCACATGGTGCCCAAGTCGTCTGGAGATTGGAGACCCTGTGGAGATTACCGTGCACTGAACCGCATCACAGTGCCTGACCGGTACCCACTACCACATCTCCACGACTTCACTGCCTGCCTCGCTGGGACATCGATCTACTCTCGGCTCGACCTCGTCAGGGCCTTCAACCAGATACCGATGGCCCCAGAAGACATCGCCAAGACAGCGATCACAACGCCCTTCGGCGCCTTCGAGTTCCTCCGTATGCCGTACGGTCTCCGGAACTGCGCTCAGACCTTCCAAAGGTTCATGGATCACATCCTCCGTGGCCTGGACTTCGCCTTCGTCTATGTAGACGACATCCTCATCGCCAGCAGCAGCATCTCGGAACATCTCACACACCTCCGAGAGGTCTTCAGCCGTCTTTCCCGCAACGGTGTGCTCCTCAACCCATCGAAGTGCGCCTTCGGCATGGAAAGCATCTCCTACCTCGGCCACCAGATCTCCAGCGGAGGCATCACTCCTCTCGACGATCGAGTCAGTGCGATCAAGAACTTCGACCGTCCAGAGTCAAAGAAGAGCCTCAAGAAGTTCCTGGGGATGATCAACTTCTACCATCGCTTCATCCCCCACGCTGCTGCTCTTCTGGCGCCTCTCCACGGCCTGACTGCCTCAGACGACCGAGCTGCTTCAGTCACGTGGACCTCAGAGGCAGACGCCGCCTTCTCTGCAGCCAAAGCCGCCCTCGCTGACGTCACCCAGCTCGCTCATCCCGTCAAAGATGCAGCTCTGAGCCTCAGCACTGACGCCAGCAGCACAGCAGCCGGCGCCGTGCTCCACCAGCGAGTTGGTGGTTCTCTTCAGCCTCTCGCCTTCTTCTCGCGCAAGTTCACGCCCACCCAACGCCGCTACAGCACCTTTGGACGGGAATTGCTCGCCATGTACCTCGCCGTGCGACATTTCCTGCCCTATCTGGAAGGACGCGACTTCGAGATCCTCACGGACCACAAGCCGCTCGTCTTTGCTCTCAAGGCCAACAGCAACGCCAACCATTCTCTCCGTGAACAACGTCACATGGACCTGATTCTGCAGCACACCAGCAAGATCGGACATGTTCCTGGACACCTCAACCCGGTAGCTGACGCCATCTCACGGATCAGCTCAGTGTCTGCGCCAGCTTCTGCCGCAGCTACACCTTCACCCGGCCTTCTGAGCTTGGCCGACATCGCCCTACACCAAGCCAACGATCCTGACCTGCCGAAGCTGCAACAATCCTCATCTCTGGTCATCCGTGACTTCCCAGTCCCTGATCATCCGCATCTACGTCTCTGGTGCGACACCTCAACGGCCACACCTAGACCTGTAGTCCCAGCCAGACTCCGCCCTTCCATCATCAAGAGCTTCCACGACTTGTCTCATCCTGGCATCAACGCTACGCGTCATCTCATCTCATCGAGGTTCATCTGGCCCCAAATCAACGCGGACATCCGTGCCTTCGTCAGGAGCTGCCAGCACTGTCAGCGTGCCAAGATCCAGCGCCACACGAAGCCACCCATGGGCAGCTTCCAGCCACCTGACTCTCGCTTCCTGCACATCCACATCGACCTTGTCGGACCACTTCCTCCGTCCCATGGCAACTCCTATCTCCTGACTGTCGTCGACCGCTTCACCCGGTGGCCCGAGGCAATTCCTCTGCCCACCATGGACGCCGTCACGGTGGCTCGGCATCTCGTCAGCGGCTGGATCGCCCGCTTCGGAGTACCCGAACTCATCACCACCGACAGAGGATCCCAGTTCGAGTCCCGCCTCTGGACAGAAGTCTCCAAGCTTCTCGGCACCTCTCGGATCCGGACCTGCGCCTACCACCCAGAAGCAAACGGGATGGTAGAGCGCTTCCACCGCCAACTGAAGTCAGCTCTGCGGACCGATGACGACGCCGCCTCCTGGTCGGACCGACTTCCTCTGGTGCTACTCGGAGTGCGCACGGCCCTCAAGGAGGATCTCGGATGCACCGCTGCAGACCTAGTCTATGGTTGCAGTCTCCGACTTCCTGGTGACTTCCTCTCCCCCATGTCGTCGGACACTTCTTCTGATCCGGCTTCCCTAGCCTCTCGTCTCCGTGCCGCCATGTCGGAGCTCCGTCCAACTCCTCCTCGTCCTGGCTCCCGCCAAATCTTCATCTCTCAAGACATGCAAACCTGCTCCCACGTCTTCATCCGACGCGATTCGCATCGCTCTCCTTTCCAATACGTCTATGACGGTCCTTATCGTGTCCTATCCCGCGACCAGCACACCGTCACCATCGCCCGTCTCGGGCGACGCGACACTGTCACCCTGGCTCGGTGTAAACCGGCCTTCACGGACAACATGCCAGCCGCAACGCCGCCTGCAGCACCGGACGTCCTGGTGAACGACACGCCTACTACAGCGACAGACAGCTCGGTGGACCGCCCGCCTGCTGCATCGCCTGCACCCAGCCGCTCAGGTGCCCCCGGCGGCTCTCGCCCGGCTCGCCGCGTGCCGCCGGACCCACCGCCTGCTTCGCCGCCCCCTCTCCGTCGTTCGTCGCGTCTTCGCCGCCAAACTTCTTTTTATGGTGTTTAACTAGGGCGGGGGAGTGATGTAGCCCCTGCGCGTTTACTTCCGCCGGTCACCGCTAGATGCTGTGAACCGCTAGTTACAGTTTTGTTAATAGGTGTCGCTTTTACCAGTCTCTAAATTGCTAAAGCCTTCGATTAAGTTGTGCGCCCCCCTTTTAACGTTCCGTTCGCTTAAACTGCTGTATTGTTTGGACAATTGTATTGGCTATGTGTATATTAAAAACCATATGTATTCGTTTATTACATTCGATGTTCTCGCCAACATGTGTGCAATACTAGATAACTAAGTTCGTATGTAAAACTATATATGTCTCGATTTTGTGGCGAAATACAAGAGATATCTGTATGTTACAGTGTTTCTACTGGCTACACCAGCCAGACCAGCTCCACAATGGTCTGCATTTCTGCAATGGTCTCAACAGGCCTAACTAAACACAAAAGGCATTTTCACTTGCTAACAGTTTAAGACTAATATTATTCTAAAAACGGTTGTAAAGCAATGTATAATGAAATAGATATACGGTGTATATGAATAGAATTAGGTGTGCTGAGACTTGTACTTTATGAACTTGAACAGTGAACACTAGAGTAACTAATTCAACTATTTCTTGTTATTCAGACTGTCCGCCAGTGGACGGGGGCCCGGCGACAGACGCTGGCTCAGTGGCCAACAGTGGTCCACCCGCCGGCTGATGGTGGCTCGCCGACCGACGCCGGCCCGTCGGCTGACCACGGCATTCCGGCTGATGGTGGCCCGCCAGCCGATGGAGGTCCGCCGGCCATTCGTGGCACGCCCGCAGACGGCAGCTCGACGACACGTCCTGGCTATGTCACCCCCAAGATTACTTCGCCCCCCAGTCCCTAGTTGAGTGGCTGGAGAGTGGAGAGAACTTTGTGTGTTGCCGGGACGGGATGTCTGCTAATGCAGATGCCGTTGCACGGGTCGTGACGTATGATGGGTCTCAGACTCGGGCCTCGACTTTTGAGTGAGAAACGTATAAACAGGCTAATGTATTGCAATTATGGGCTATGGCTAAGTGTGCGACAGGAAACGCTATTAGCTATGACTTATCGTCGCCGTGGCGGAAATTTGAGGACCGTCGCAACCTGTGACGTCGCCGTGACTGCTAATTGACGGTCGCCTTGGATCGTGTGTAACGGTCACTGTGCCTGGTATGTGACGGCCGCCGTGATTGTTTATATAACGGCCGTCGCGACTGAAACGTGACGGTCGTCGTGAGACCTGACGTGAGACCTGACGTGTCGCTGTGTCACAGGTCATCAGTTGCGGGCGCTCCATCTGACGGTGTCGTCCGACGGCTCCACAGTGACTAGCGCCGCCACTGCGGAAACCATCCGACCCCGAAAATGCTGCTAGCCGTACACGAACAAAGGGCGCCGGGCACCCAGGACCAGCGCCCTGCTCCGAGGCGGTGTCAAAGAAGGCTGCACAGTGCACTTGCTGTGCTAAGGCATGGTGCGCGCTGACTGATAGGAACAAATGACGGTCAGTTATCAGATTTCAGTATGGAACTCAAGATGGTCGGAGCCGACCTGGCTCGGTGGATGGTGTGCCAGGGTTGATTAAGTGTCGAAAGGAGTGAGACGCCCAGATATGTGAAGGATACGTCGATACGAGCCCCGGCTTCGACTCCCCGTCCCAAAACGATGTTGGTTGTGATTGGAGGATCCCCCCCCCCCGCCCCCCGGAATTTGTGCTATGTAATCGGACGATAATATGTCGTGGTCTCATTCTGGCTCGATATGGTAATAGGTACTTAATTGGACAGATGTTGATGGTATTGGTGGTGGATGTAAATGGCAGGTTTGGCGAGCGCGAATTAATAATCGTGAGTGCACTAGCTGCAATCAGTTGCGCGCTTATTGCTGAGCACCTGTGAGCAAGAAAATTATATGAATGTGGTAGTTCGTCGTGAAATCTGTGTACAGGTCTCGCGAGATTAAGCGGTAGCTTTTGCACTTTAACATTTCCGGTTATATCTCAGAAACTAATCGATCTACGATGTAGCCATTTTACACGATCATAGCCGGCTTGTTACCCAACAAGTCGATCGCATCTTCAACACTTAAAAGCTTAAGACGACGAAGATATAGCCTGAAGTACACTAAATTTTCTAGGTGCAAAACCTACCGCTAAAACCCGCGAGACCTGTACTTTTGGATTAAGTTGTCAGAACATAAGTGTATTTTTGCCCTGTCCACTGCAGCTCTGAAACAGAAACATGGAGATCGGCTGTGTGCTGTAGCTGCGGGGGCAAGTAGTCCGCGCGTGCCAAAAAATCAAAGGTGATATGTGAATTTAAGTGAATATACCTCGCTATATTTTCAATTTTATTATTTCAACAAATGCGTCGACTGCTGATTACCCTCGGGTCCTAACATTAACGTTTGCAATACTGGAAAGTACATAGACAATAGATACCCTTGCGACCGACTGGCGCGATCCGAGAATCTCTCTCACTGTTTTTGCTGACCTACACACGAAAACACGGCCGAATAGCTGAGAGCACCGAACGATGCTGGTGACTGACGGACGAGCAAAAATAGAGCTCCCGTCTACTCGCGGAACAGCGCTGATTGGCGCGGCTCACAGACTCCATTGGCCAAGGCCCTAAAACATAAGGTTGGACGAAGTTTTCTACCAAAAATGTACTAGAATAGCGTACGAGTCAAAGCTATTTCCATTGTTTCTTTACAAATATGTCGCAAACAAGCTTTTTCTGTTATAAATCATTATTTCGAAGTTAAGTAACCAGTTGCTATAAATTCCATAAGCAAACACTTATTTTCTATATAAAAGCCTAGCTATTATAGTCCAACTCTAGTTGAATAATCAAGTAGCCACTAAATTTTCCAGATGTGACACATATTGCGCACTTCAGACAAGTGCGTTGCTAAGGCGTTGCTAAGGACTCTTTCGCATGTTTTGCTGCGTGTTTTTTGTTATGAAGTGAGGGAAGTGAGATAGACAGGCTTTTTGATATTTTTTTTTTCAGGTTTTCTAGGACCGTCGCAAATTATTTAACTTCACATACTTTTCTTGCTTTTTTATCAGAGGCTTTTTCAATAATTGGTAGATTCTATCGTGGAAATAGAAGGGCCAGCAGGCCACATGGGTAAATGCAAGTCGACTGATAGTGAAATAAAATGTCTGTTCCATTAGAAATTTAATGTGATGTGATGGAACATGAAGTAACAGGATCAGACGCAAGAACCACCAATTAAGAACCAAGAACCAGCAAGCGCTACCTATGCCATCAAGAGCAGCCATGGTAACGTTTGATTAGCTTTCAGAAAACCTTGGAACTAGACGCCAGACGGTGAGCAGTCAAGAGATCTTACAAGACCAGTAGTTACTTGAAGACGAGAGCCGCCTGGAAAATCAGTAGTTTCTTCAATGGCAACACATTTCAACATCTATCTAGCAATGATTTGCACCAGCGAGGTGCTATCATTGTGTTTTGTGTCTGTATTGTATCCCTAACTGTTCAAAAAATATTTGTCAATAAATAAACAAACAAATAATGCGTCTTTTTCTACGGAAAGTAAGTACTCCAAGTGGCAAGGGATGAATAATAGAGGGTACCTAATTAATTGCCATCTATTCATTTAATTCATAAATCATAGGCAATTCAGGGCATCGATTGGCAGCGCCCTTACTGCATGGCACTGCGGATCGTCCATGGGTTTCTTGATGACTCCGACTCTGACTCAGACTTTCAAAAATCAACTCTGACTTTGATTTCAAATGTCGGCTCTGACCGACTCCGACTCCACAGCCCTAGCAGGTCTGCGGAGGCAATGGATTTTTGGTGACTCCGACTCCGACTCTGGCTTTCAAAATCGACTCTGACTCTGACTCTGGTCAGAACTGTCGACTCGGACCAACTACAACTCCGACTACGGAACCCTGAAAGGTCTGCGCAGGGAATCGAATTTCGGTGACTGACTCAGACTCCAGCTTTTAAAATCGACTCTGACTCCGACTCGACGACTCAGGTCAGAACTGTCAACTCCGACCGACTTCATGACTCCGACTCCCGAGCCCTACTGGCAGCTATCACGCCAGGGAGCTGCAAATCATATGTTCCGTGGCGGTTTATGGCATTAAAGTCGATAATGCGGCTGAATCGCACTATGAAACACCCTTATTGGCTGCAAGAACCACGAAAGTTAGCGCATCACCACTGGAAAACGTGACAAGATATCGATTAATTGGCCCTGGATTTGGATACATAACATGTTGATGATCATATTAGCACACATTTACATTATCATCTATCTCAAGGTTGCCCTCCAGGCGGCTCTAAACTATGGCAATTTCCCTATCTCCAACATGTAAATGCCCTCGGGCGTCCTCGTGGTGACGTAGGCATGGGAGTGCCAGTTTGGTAGGAACTAGACTTCGACGCCCCCTGCCATTGGCTCATCAGAGTTCAGACTGTTGACGGTTGTTGCTCCTCCCTCCCCTCCCCGAGAGGGCGTAGCCAAGTAGCTTAGTTGTGTGCGCAGCGGGCGGTCTTTTTGCATCTGTGTAACCGTTTAGTGGATGGTATCCAGACGAGACGAGCTAGGCGTCGGCGTCGCCCTTCCAGCGTTTGTTTTGTTTGTTTGTTTTGTTGGGTTAGGCTCTTTCGGTCCAGTAAAACCCAAGGCCATATATACATAGAAGGTACAGTCCAGGGTATATTGAGTGAAGGGTAGGACGAACTTTGGTAGGAATTTCTAGTATAACTACTAGAAAACCTACTATATGTGGTCGGGACTAGCAAAAAGTTAGTTCAAACTAGAATATGGTAGCGCTTATGGTCGGCAGTCGTGACGCGCAAGTGTCATTCATTTCTTAACTTTCTTAAATAACAGGTTTTAGGGGCCAATTAGTGGGCAGATACATTCAATTAGCCATTAATAATTGATTATGCAAACATTCAAGAATCTACATCATTCAATTCTAGCCAAAATCACGCGGCGCTCCCAAGATTCGAACTCACGACCCTCGGATCCGTAGCCCGATACGCTACCGACTGCGCTACCGAGGACCGCGCGCCGACGATCGGAGAGGCGGATCGCGGGTGCTGGCGTGCAGAGAAATCTTTACCCTGTACGCCGTAGAAGATCGGCTGGGGTTCGTGAAAAATGGTAGAGGAATTGTCGAAAGAAAATTCATCGATCTATCATTTGAGACTAAGAACCATTGATTCCTTCAAAGATTGACCGAGATATCGCTCGCCGAAAACAGGCCATTTAACATGTAAACCCTATGGGCTGGTAGGAAATGTACGCCGTGGAGCAGCAGTGCTACCAACTAACTTCGGCGGGGGCCGGTACAGTCACTCCCCCGCCGACCAATCAGAGACAGATCCTGAGTGACGTCATCCCTGATGCTCGCAAGGGGTACTCCATTCCTTAACAACGTAAAAATGACAAACTTCATTTGAAGATTATTGATGGTACTTTTCACATATTGCTCAACCGTTGATGCCACTGGAAAGCCCAACTAATTTTCTAGCGACAAAAAAGAGCAGCAATATGCTAAGAAATGGCCCGTTTTGAAGATAAACGCGATTTAAAAACCCTCTGCAGTAGCAGAAAAGCAACGTAAAAACGCATCCAGCTTATATTTTTACTATAAGTAAATCAATTTTCAGTATGTTTCTAGATAACATATTGATATGAATAATCACTTTATTACAATATTTTTATTATTTGTAACTTTATTTCAAAATAATATTTTCAAAAATGGCAACTGCTGGCAAGAAGCTTGGAAGCGATTGTGGCGCACCACGCCATTATTGTCTTGAGGTCCCCTTATGACGTCATCAAAAGTGGAGTGACATGGGCCTG